TGTCCAAGAGGGTTTCTGGGTGAGAAGGACGATCGCACTTCGCCCCGCTCCACCCCTCTAGGCAGCCTGACCGTCCAGCCATGCGAGAGAGGCTCTTCCTTTCTGCGGCTCCAGGCTCTGAGACGATCTTCCAGGCTTCCGGGCACGACACTGCAATTCTCATGGAACCAAAATGCAACTAAACAGAGAGTTTTTTCCCTGCCCAAGTCTCCCGAAACAGGGGAATGGCAAAATCAAATCAAATTCATAGAGACCATATAAAAACTATTTATAAAGCAGCTTCAGCTTTTTAACCACTTTGGTACGAGCGTCGACTATAGTCGACAGCCACAGATGAACGCGCACAGCGACTTTAGCCGACAGGCGTGATATGACTTTTCTAATTTTTCAATTTGTCTAATTTTATCAAAATAAAATTGTGAACATTTAAAAATAACGTAATGAAAACTTATATGTCTATGTTACCTATTCTGATTTACATGACAAGGAAAGCTGCTGCCTGTAAAGTGAAACAAGCTTTTCACGCTGGACCGAAGTGGTTAAAAAGCCTCCAAGTTCTGTCCAAAAGCCAGGTGGGAGTCCCTACTTGTTCCTGTACCATCCCTATAAGTCGCACTTTTGAGAAAGAGACCAAGGACATTCCGAATGCCAGCCCTGAGGCTCAGCAAACCCGTCATGACAATATTGAACTCACTTTCTTGGTAAAAGGAAATTAAATGTTTTAGCAAGACAATTGCAACATAGAATGAAATAAAAACATTTCTTTTTAGAAGGTAACTACTTGCAGCGATTTCCTAGCTCTGCCCACTGAAAAGGCCTAGAAACGAAGTTCAGTCTAACCGCGATGAGCGTCCCGCGTGCCCACATCATGGTTTTAGAAATACTGTTTCTCACCGAAAGGAACCAGGGCTCCTTGGAGCGACGGCTGCCTCCAGATTGGGGCAGGAAATGTGTCAGATGAACCTGAACATCTTGTCACACGTGAGGACAGCAAGGAAACTACCAAAAGCTACCTGAGCAGTATCAGAAGGACTCGGGAGCTGAGGTGCCCACTGGCAAAATATGGGACAATGTGAGCAGCAATAAAGGTAATAAGTGAAGGAGACGGCAGCCCCTCAAATATGCTTAAATTCTACTATCATCAATAACGATAAAAGATCAAAATATTATTATTGTGTTTGAAATAATTTTTCTTTTTTAGAGACGGGATCTTGCTCTGTCACCCAGGCTGGAGTACAGTGGCACAGTCAGAGCTCACTGCGGCCTGGAACTCCTGGGCTCAAGCCATCCTCAGCCTCAGCCTCCCGAGTAGAAGGGACTACAGGTGGGCCAACATGCCTGGCTATATTTTAAAAAGTTGTTTTGTAGAGATGGGGTCTTGATATATTGGTCAGGCTGGTCTCAAACTCCTGGCATCAAGCCATCTTCCTGCCTCAGCCTCCCAAAGTGCTGGGATTATAGGCATGAGCCACAGCACCCAGCCTCAAAATATTATTAATTGATCACTATGGCGAGACTAGGCAACCAACTCAAAATTTTGAAAGAATCAATTTTTTTTTTGTCAAGACTGTATGATAGTTGGTATTGTGCTCTTCCACCAAGAAGTACACAAGGAATCAGGCATTTAATTTGCCTTCCCTATGCAAACTGTGTCAGTGAACAACTAAAGGGCAGTTGAGGGTGAGTTTCTCTTTATAGAAATATTCCTGCTAATAAAAGAAGAAGTGATAGAAGTGTTACAGCCCTAATGAACTGACGTACTTAGGGACTGATCGTCAATGGCTGCTAACATCACCCAAAGACAGACAACCAGCCATTTTGCACCTCCTGGAGGGATAAGACACCACCTAGGATAGAGTCTTGTCAAAATAAATCTGATCAAGTTCTAAAGCAGATCCAACTACCAATTTATAGGAAATACAGAGGAGAAGGGAGCATGTCAAACTACATCACAGAAGATGCGTTCAGCAAATCCAGACCCTGGGACTCTTCTCAGAACAACCTGCTTTCTTCAGCAAATAAATTGCAAGGGAATAAAAAAGATGTGTGTAGGGAGGTGGGGTTGGCTATGGATTAAAAGAAAATCTGAAGTCCTGTCAACTGATCTTGATTCAAACTATAAAAATAAAATAAAAACATGTTTATGGCATGAGATAATTAGAAATGTAAAACAGTGATATTAATGAATTATTAACTTTTTAAGTATGATAGTGGTACTGCAGTTATGTTAAAAAGAGTCTATGTTTTTAGAAATGCACACTGAACTATTTAAATATGAAATATGATGCCAGAGATTTGCTTCAAAATAATGCAGGAGGTGGGGAAGGTGAACAGGTGTCTAAATGAAATAATATTGACTATGATTTGATAATTATTAACGCTTAGTGATTGGAACAAGGAAGTTCATTGAACTGTATCTCTTTACTTTTATATGCTTGGAATTCCCCATAATGAGAAATTAAAAAAAAAAAAAGAGTTAAAGACTTACAGAAAGCTAATCATATAACAGTGGGTTCATTTGTCAAAACCCATAAAACAGAAACACCACTCTGGGTGATGATGCATCAAGGCAGGTTTGGGATTGTGCCAATGTCCCACCTGCTCCAGACGTTGATGGTGGGAAGGGCTGGGTGTGTGGAGAGGGGTATGAGGGAACTACTTTTTGTTCAGTTTTGCTTTGAACCTGGAACTGCTCTAAAAATAAAGTCTATTAAGAAAAAGTTAATTGCATAACTCAAATACCTGGTTCTGATCCCACTCTTGCATGCAACACGTTGGGGGCGGGGTGGGGGGACCAAAGTCTCTTATGTCTCGCACTAGTTAACTGCAGCACCCAGGCGAGTCACAGAACTTTACCACCAAAGGTTACTTACTTCCCGCTTGGAATGTCTTGGTTCCTCATGTGTGAGATCAGGAAAGCAATACCTGCCCTACTTTGCTCGCTGGCTTGAGGTGAAGATAAAATGAAATCACGTGCAAGTGTTAAAGACTGTCCTGCAGTAAGTGCTGGAGTGTCAACTGCAAGCCCATTGCCACCGGATGATTATCAGAAGGGTGCTGGGGGCACGCCCGTCCGGCTAAGGGATTTGGAGCCAACGGGAGTTCAGCTCAGTCCCTTTTGAAACTCTCCAAGGCCTTGGTTTCTTCCTCGTCCCACCTCCTCTCATGATCTCCCCCTTTCTTTCTGTGGCAAGCAGGGTGGAGCTGAACTGCAGCCAGCTCTTGGGCTTGTGCAGACGTGTACACGACAACGGCAGCTGTAGGTCTTTACAGCGGCGGTCCCCAACCTTTCTGGCACCAGGGGCCGGTTTCCTAGAGATGATTTTTCCAGGGGTGGGGCGGGGGGTGGGGCGGGGGGCTCGGGTGGTGCTGCTCCGCTGGGTTTCCAGCAGGCCGCCTGGGCGGGGACGGGTCAGACGACTGCCACCAGGAGGTTGGGTGGGGACCTCAGCTTCAGGGAACCGCACCCACGTGTCTGTTGTCCTAACCTGCAGAAGTCTTTGTTCAAAGGAAATCTGACCCAGACCCCAACAATCAAGGAGGCAGTGGGAGGACTGCTCCAGTTTGTAGGGCTTTGGTTCTCGAGCACTTACTGTGGGACAGTCTTTAACACTTGCACGTGATTTCATTTTATCTTCACCTCAGGCCAGCGAGCGAAGTAGGGCAGGTATTGCGTTCCTGATCTCACACATGAGGAACCAAGACATTCCAAGCGGCTTGCCCGCGAGGTGTCAGTAGCAGCCCCTCCGCACCCCAAAAGTGTCCCCAGATGCCGCCAGAGCCCCAGCTGTGTTTCGGCCTGTATGGGATTCCGGGCGAGCCAGTTAGGGGCTTGTTTTGCCCGTGTGTACTAAGTTTCTGTTGTAGTCTGTCATTAGAAAACAGAAACAGTCTGATTAATATATGAGTGAAAATCCACTCTTAAGAAAGATGTAATTAATCAATTCACTCAGTGAATTTGTCACTGATAACAGCCTAATATGTTCCTCTGCCAGCAGGATACATCTTTTAATGAAGATTAATCAAAACGTAAACCAAATGAGTGGGGCTTCAAATGGTGGAACTGTAGGTAGTAAGGCAAGAAGGATGATTATTATGCTTTTGTTAGAGGTAGACAGTAAGCCTCTTTGGCAGCTTTAGGGTTGACCATGGGCTAAGTCCAGTCTTGATCCCAGAAGAGCTGGGGTGTGTGTCACTAGGCTTGTCCACTTTTGCAAGTAATGTGAACCTCTGCTATTGCTCTAAATGCCACTAAAATTTTCTTCCTGTAATGGGTGTGAATTTATCTTTGTGTTTTACTGAAGTAAAGAAACTGAGGCTTAAAATCCCAGCTTCACCACTTGCCTGCCTTGGGCAAGCTGCTTGGTCTGTGGGAAACCTCAATTTCCTCAATGTAAAATGAGAATTACAACATTTACGACTTCTCCTCCTCCTCCTCCTCCTCCTTCCTTTCTTTGTCACCCAGGCTGGAGTGCAGTGTTGCGATCATAGCTCACTCCAGCCTCAAACGCCTGGGCTCAAGCGATCCTCCTGCATCAGCCTCCCAAGTGGCTGCAACCACAGGTGTGCACCACCACACCCCATTACCATTTACTTCTAAAGTTAAAATGATACTCCAAATGTGAAAATGCTTGGTGAAAGGTGAAGTTCTGCACAAATGCGAGTCACAGTGCCGGCTCCTGGGGACCTGGGTTTCTAGGTGCAGGACAGAGGTGGGAGTGCAGGGGGTGATTACCGAGGACACAGTTTGGAAAAAACCTCTGCCTCTACCTGGGCCGTGATAATTCAGTTAGTTACTCAGTCTCACAGAAGAGCGAGAAGACGCTGAAAGGCGTGTCCGCCCCTCAGCAGGCTGAGGGGAGCACTGGAGTCTGGGCCTCTTCACAGAGCGGGTCTGGAGGGGCACTGGGTGGGAGGGGCCACAGAAAAAGCTGCACAAACTGTGTGGTGTGACGGGGACCGAGACCCCGGGGTTCCCATTCAGGGACGTGTCCCCTTACCAGGTTGATGCCACTTGCTTCTGCATGCTGGAGGAGGATGCTGCCCACGAGCTCTGTGCCCCACTGCACTCCTGGGCCATCTGGGAAATCCCTGCAAGGGAGAGGCATGACTTGAACATGCTTTCTCATCAGGCACAGCCTTCTCCCTAAGCTCCAGTAGGTCGGTGCCCAGTTTTGTGACAATAATTATATTGGGGGTGGGTCCCTACCCTGAAGGCACTCAGATTTCAGTTAAAAGAGATAAGATTTACGAACATGAAACAACTAGAAATCAATGCACAATCCTATACAATATACTTTTGGAGCTTTGTGTTTGTTGCTGAGGGGAAGAAACAGTATCAATAGACAAGGCTTCGTCCACAAGTTGGGTAGACAGATGCGTTAACTGTCAACTTGAACACAAGGCAGGATGATATGCACTGTGTAAGAATAATAGTAATAGTGCTTTCATAAAAAGTACAAGCCTGAGGCGCGGCGGCTCACGCCTGTAATCCCAGCACTCTGGGAGGCCGAGGCGGGCAGATCGCTCAAGCTCAGGAGTTTGAAAACAGCCTGAGTAAGAGCGAGACCCCGTCTCTACTATAAATAGAAAGAAATGAATTGGCCGACTAATATATATAGAAAAAATTAGCCAGGCATGGTGGTGCATGCCTGTAGTCCCAGCTACTCAGGAGACTGAGGCAGGAGGATGACTTGAGCCCAGGAGTGTGAGGTTGCTGTGAGCTAGGCTGACGCCATGGCACTCACTCTAGCCTGGGCAACAAAGTGAGACTCTGTCTCAAAAAAAAAAAAAAAAAAAAAAAAAGGACAAGCCTGGGCAACATAGCAAAACCTCCTATCTACAAAAAATAAAATAAAATAAAAATCAGTCAGGCATGGGGGCATGCCCCTGTAGTCCCGGATACTTGAGGGGCTGAAGCCAGAGGATCACTTGCACCCAGGAGTTTGAGGATACAGTGAGCTATGATCTCGCCACTGTATTCCAGCCTGGGCAACACACTAGATCCCATCTCTAAAAAAAAAAATTAAAAAACTATAAAAGTATGATACTTCATTTCACCACATGAACATCTTTTTAAGGAGCCTTTACAGATGAAGTTAAGTAGCTGCTTGCAAGGTTGTTAGAGTTGGATTTGAACCTAGGTTTCCTGACTGCAAAGCCAAGATGTTGTAGCCCTGGGGAGCCAGCTACGTCCCTCCCCGCCATCGGGAATGGGGCCTGCCACACGTCAGGAGCAGAGTCTCTACCAGAATAATCTGCAACTTTTCCGTGTCTCCACCTGGCCATTCCACAGGCCCATCTCCTCCCACCTGCTGAAATCCTTCCTGTCCCTTTTTTGCACTTTGATCTATGGTGTCAGCTGACATGAGGCCAAGGCCTCAATTTGACCCTCTTTTTGGAAAATATTCACAGTCTCATAAACAGATAACCGACTCTCTCCGTTCAGGTCCTGCGGCAACACCCACAATGCTGAGAGGACATGGGCTCCCTTTGCTCCTACCAGGGAGGCTGCTGTCACCTCCCTGTGGACAAAGGTCATTAACTGACCCTCATAGGACTTGGGCAAAGGAGAGTCACTGGGCGTTTTTCAGCAGGAAAATGACACCAGCCTCAGCACTAACTAATGCTGTTATTTCCTTCCCTCCGTTGGCTGCTCTGCTAACCCCTTAGGCTGCTTCTGCAGAGGGCGGCTTTGTGCTTTTCAGAGCCCTGACTGTCAGCCACTCCATGCGGTTCTCATGGTGCTTGCAGCAAGCAGGACAGACAGCTCGGCAAGGGGGGAGGGACAGGGAGAAAGGGATGAAGTAGGACCAGGACAGAGTCCAGGCTTGTTTCCTGGAATGGAGCTGAACGTGGTGTGTAAAACATGACCTGCTGTGCTCACATGGCTGAAGGAGAAACAGATGCAGGAGCCACAGAAAATTCCCTGGAGTGACAGTAGCTGCATACATACTCCTGCCTTGGGTGCGCCACATACACGGGCCAAGGCATGGTTTAGAAGGGAGCACACCGGCGATATTCGCGTGGAGCTTCAGCACGCAAGAGAAACGGGGAGAGAGGCGGGCGGAGCCTGTTAACGCTCGGTCCTGCAGCGCTGACAGTCGAGCCCCAAGGAGCAGAAGCCGCTGGCTGCTCCATCTGCCCCCAGAGAGCTGGGATCTGCTCTGGGCGCCGGCGGGGAAGCCCCTTGGAGCCAGGCCCACAGGGGCAGGGGCTGCCCCGCCCCACACAGGCGAGGCCAATGTTTGGGGACTGCGGACTGTAAACATCTGCTCTGTGACGGGACACTGCTGACCAGGCAGCTCTGCGTCTGTGACCAAGTCCAGACTTCTTGGTCAGGCATCCAAGTTTTCCCCAGTCTACTGCCTGTTTTAATCCACTTCATTTCTCTTTATTTGAGAGAGCAAATGAGATAAGGTAGGTGAGAAAGCATTTATAAACCGTAAAGCGATGTGCAAATGCCAAAACAGTGGCTGTTACTGCTGCATTTAATCATTGCCTCATTTAATCACCCCCCTTTCTCCTTTCTCTCTTTCTTCCTTTTATTTTTTTTTTTGATACAGGGTCTGGCTCGAGGCTAGAGTGCAGTGGCACCATCATAGCTCACTGCAGCCTCAAACTCCTGGGCTCAAGTGATTCTCCTGCCTCAGCCTCCTGAGTTGCTGGGAACACACACACATGCCACCACATCCCGCTAATTTTTCTATTTTTTATAGAGACAAGGTCTTGTTCTTGCTAAGGCTGGTCTCAGACTTCTGACTTCAAGTGATCCTCTCTCCTCAGCCTCCCAAAGTGCTAGGATTATGGGCGTGAGCTACTGCACCTGGCCTTAAGCCTCTTCTTTTTAAAAGAAAGAACACAATCCTCCCTTCTTGCTCTGGAGTCCCTTGCAGAGCTCTTTGCTAGCCGTGTCTGCCAGCGGTCAGGGCAGTGGGGCACAGGCATCCGGGAGATGTGTGAGGCGACCCAGTGGGGAAAAGCAAGAAACCACTAGACTTTCTATACACATGTTTTTCTACCTGTTAAGTTTCTATTTTGTAGCTATTTTATAAAGTGTCATGTACTAACAGGGTTTAATGCATATACAATTTACTGAATAAGTCCATATGAGGCACATTACTCAAATTTTGTTTCTAGCTGTTAGGGGAGTATGATTAAACAATGTTTGGAGGTCATGGCCGGGCGTGGTGGCTCACACCTGTAATCCTAGCACTCTGGTGGGCCAAGGCGGGAGGATCGTTTGAGCTCAGGAGTTCCAGACCAGCCTGAGCAAGAGCAAGATCCCGTCTCTACTAAAAACAGAAAGAAATTAGCTGGACAACTAAAAATATATAGAGAAAAAATTAGCCGGGCATGGTGGCGCATGCCTGTAGTCCCAGCTACTCGGGAGGCTGAGGCAGGATCGCTTGAACCCAGGAGTATGAGGTTGCTGTGAGCTAGGCTGACGCCACGACACTGTAGCCCGGGCAACAGAGTGAGACTCTGCCTCAAAAAAACACAATATTTGGAGATCACTCACCAATCTACTCACTCCCCATTTTATTTTTCCCTGGATGTTTTAAACACAAATTTATTTACATAATATAAAACTCACCCATTTTAAATGTACAGTGATTTTTTTAGTAAATGTGTGGAATTTCTACACTTCATTTTACTAGTGCTTTGCATGTGCTTAACTCTTGACTCTCCAACCTATCATAAGTCCCCTGATGGACTGACGGTAGCCGCTGATTAGCCACTTATCAAGTTCCAACAGGAAAATGGAAGCCACGGAGTATTTAAGAAGGAATTTCATACAAGGTTTTATCTACCCACTTGACCAGAAGAGCTGAGAGGCCAAACAGGGAACCATGAAATAGCCACAGATTGGCAACAGCGGGAGGGCACTGCCGCCTCTAGGATGGGACACCAGGGCCGTGGAATGGGAGTGACGGTGGGAACCAGATGGCAGGAGCTAGCGTCACGGTAAACACCAAGCGGCTACGGGACATGCCACCCAAGGTGCATGGAGAGGGACATGCCCTGGTTTTCCCCTCCTTGACCTCCCAGCCTTCCATCACTGCCATCTGTTGGTTAAATCTACCCAGAAGCCAATTGGCACAGGAGCCTGAAAGTGTAGTTTCCATTGGTGCAGAGCAAAGGGGTAAGATATCGGCCATGTCTTGCTGATGGCTGAGGTTCATGGATATTTATTTTCTCTTGCTGCTTAATCTTGGTCCTAAACCTTCAAAGGACAGCAGTAGTCTGGCCACAGGGAGGCAGTGCCCCACCAGGTGCTCAGGTACAGCGGGCAGCAGGAGCAGCACAGGGCGAGCAGGATTCACGGCTCAGGGAAGGGAGACGCGGAAGAGCTAATGGCCAGCTCTACCCCAGAAGCTCCAGGACAGTGGGCTGCACGTGACTACGGTGGCCCCGTGTCATCAGAAGACAGTGTGGTGTGGCAGCGAGAACAATGGGCGGACAACACCCGAGCTCCGGCTCCCTGCTCTCCGTGCGACCGTGGGCAGGAGCTTCGCCCTCAGTGGTGCCAGGACAGCTCCGGGTGTACCTGATGACGTCTGAGAGCCCTTCCAGCTCTGAAATTTAGGGTTTTATGTCATAAGCTATTTATTTTTCTCCCCCACACACTTTATTGAGGTATAATTAACAAAAATTGTAATTATATTTATTATATATTGTTAAGGCGTACAACGTGATATTTTGATAATGTGCATATATTTTTATTACAAGTCATTCCTATAATCAAGTTCATTAACATAACCATCATCTCACACAGTTACCTTTTGCTTCTGTGTATGCGCACGTGCGTGTTTGGTGAGAACACGTGAGGTCCACTCTTGGCAAATTCCAAGCATATATATTAACTATAGTTACCATGCTGTACATCAGGTCTCCCAAACTTATACATCTTCATCTTATAATTGAAAATTTGTACCCATTTTTTTCTTTTTTAGAGACAAGGCCTTGCTCTGTCCCTCAGGCTGGAGTGCAGTGACATTATCGTAGCTCACAGCCCCCTCAGACTTCTGTGCTCGAGCAATCCTTCTGCCTCAGCCTCCGGCGGAGAAGCTGGGACAACCGGCATGCGTCACCATGCCCAGCAAACTATTTTATTTTTTATTTTTTGTAGAGACAAGCTCTTGCTTTGCTGCCCAGGCTTGTCTTAAGTGCCTGGCCTCTAGTGATCCTCCCACCTTGGCCTCCCAAGGTGTTGGGATTACAGGTGTGAGCCACTGCACCCAGCCAAAAATT